CTGCCTATCTGAAGTTTGTTGAGACATGCTATCTTACCATATGGTCAACTAAAATTCCTGCAATCTTTCAAAGCTTGATATTTTCTGTAGACTTTTTGTGGATACTTTTTATCAATTTAAAAATTATTTTTGTTACTAGTTTGCTAAGGTGTTTTTACTTTTTATTTAAAATTTTTTATTTTTAAATTATAGTTGATTAATAGTATTGTGTTAATTACTGCTACATAGCATGCTAAGGTGTTTTTAAATTAAATTACAAATTGGTGTTGAGTTTTTTGTTTTTATCTTTTTTGACAGTGCCTTGTGGCATGTGGGATCTTTCCTACCCAGGGATCCAACCCATGCCTCCTACATTGAAATCACAGGGTCTTAACTACTGAACCACCAGGGAAATCCTGGTATTGAGTTTTAACAAGTATTTACTTTGGAACCAGAGATGATTTTGCTTTTTCCTTCTTAATTTCTATTAATTTGATTAACTACTTTAATACATTTCATGTGTCTCATCTATCTTATGCCTTCCCTTAGAGGCCTAACTCTGTACATTCTCTATACAGAGAATGAAGAATGTACACATTTGTGATCCTATTTAAAATGGTAATATCACTAATACTAAGCTAAAAATGTTGAAGGTACATCTATATTTTCTGTAAGCTTCTAATATACTTATCTTAGTGTTAATGGGGTGATTTCCTATTGCTTCCTCTGCAGATTCAGGTAGGTACCTCTCAGTATTTCCCTGGATCTGAGATCCCTAGTGGAAGTGCACATTTCTGTTTCCTCTCTGAGAACTTGCTTCCATTCTTCTGTTGTATCTCTTTGGGCTCCAATTACCTCCTCTACTTTGGTAATGAGTAAATTACCACCCTCTTCTATAGTCTCATCTTAAGATCATTTGGCTCTTTGCCATTTTTATTTTCCAATTTATATTATCAACGTTTCTGTGTCCTTTAAGAACACAACATTTGTTTTAAAGAAATCCTTTTCGTCCTCCAGATCAATTGGTCTCTCTTCCTTTATTCACTTTTCACTCTCCCAGTGCTTCCATTTTGACTTCCAGGCCTGCACATATACTTGAAATAAGTGTAGTTCCTACTTGATTTCCTAAATAGACCTGCTTCCTAGGGAGAGAAGAATCCAGGCACAACCCTTTTTAATACTCTTCCTGGCCTTTGGGATTAAAATAGCATTGCTTCTCTTTACCTTAAATCCCCATATAACAAACATTTGCATTCCCTTTTACATTTCTGATTAAAATCCACGATTCCTCTGTGACTGAACAAACAACTTGAGTCCTTGAAATTCCCATCAGGGCTCATATGGTCAACACATGAGGCACCAACTTGGGACATAAATGGAAGGTGACTCTTAATACCCATATGACTTAAAGAACTTTACCCCTTCCAGAAGTCTCTCCATAGACCCTATAAAAGGATGCAATGCAAATCAAGATTAGCCCAAATTGGGTGAAACTATTCTAATGCCACCTGGGGATTACCCCAGTAAAACTGAAGGGCTAGACTCTCCCGTTTGTTTGAGGTACACAAGGAACTTCTGCCAAAACTTCTTAAATTCCTCATCTGGAATTCTGGCAGAGAATAAAAGGCAGCACAGATTTTCCTATTCAATAGTGCCTTTCCCTTCTGCAGCAAGCCTATTCTTGTGAATATCTATGTGAAGCCTCAACTGTATCCATGTGAATCCAGATCAGTCACAGTGACCTGTACAGACTACTTTTGCAAAGCCCTACATCTAGTACCTCTAAAAAAATAATGACTTGCCTGTGGACACTAGCTACCATAAGCTGCTAGAACTTGAAAAGGTCAAAGAACTAAAAGGCCCCAAAGCACTATAGCACTAAAGTCTGTGCCCTGGAAAACCAGATGTTCCATCTCCATCTTATTTTGGTCCCCTAATTCCAGTCAGACTGCCTATTTCTCACGACTTAGTAGACAATGCATATTTGCATGTGTTAGGGCTTAAGGAGAACAATTAATTGCATCCATTTCCTTTCTAAGTTCTCAACCAACTAGGTAATAGATACAAGAATCAGACCAATGAAGATCAAAATACCAGTATTTTGTTGAGAAGGCTGTACCTATAACCAAATTGGGCTTTCCAAAGCCACCCCTCCACTACCTTTCACACCCTTCCTGATTCCTTTATTGGGATTACTCACCCAAAGAATATACAAAAGAAACACTTACCTGGCGAGTTGCAAGGGGGCATGGCTGTTCCAAAAGTGGAGACAAGAGAGAAGTACTCTTCAGACTTGCCTTTGCAAGGCAGGCCTGGGCCTCAGCAGGTGTGCTTACCATATGAAAACTGGGATTTGAGTGGTGTGGGTACAGACAGGAGGCAAAGAAGTACAAGAGGCAGGCCTAGCCCACAGAAGGTGTGCTTACCATATGAAAGCTGAGTGGTGTGGGTACATATAGCAAGCAAAGAGGTTCAAAAAAGAGAAGAGAGCTTAGAGTGAGTGTGTGTGTGTGTTCATGATGACCCTCTTCCCTATGTCTCAATCAGAGAATACAATCTTCCTTTGGAGACAAGTGAGTAAGAGGTGCAGACGGGCCAAGAGTGAATTCCAATACAACTGTCTACTTGGAGGAGAACAGGAAAATAAGGACAAGTAAAGACTCCTGTCCCCATAGGTGGGACAAAGCCTGTACTCTTCATTCCCTTCCAGCAGAGACGGGGATCCCATTCCCTCATGCCCAAGGGCTGACATGGAATTCACTCCCAGCCCCCAACCTATATTTCAGGAGGAATTTGATGAATAGATTCAATGTTACTAGGTCATTCCTATATCAAAACTCAGGATGGTGGGAGTAGGGCAATGGCCAGAGGTTCAGATTGACCCCACCAAACTCCAGACATATTCACTTGCTAAGGTCCATTTGACGAGCAAAAAGAAGCAAAAGAAACACTAATAAAACTAGGAAGGCCCTTTCAAGGCATTTCACTAATAATGTCCTCAAGAGCTCTCCAGCTGCTGGAGTGAAAAGGGTAAAACAATACCCAAGGCCAAGAAAGACCAGCCTACAAATACTGTCCCCATTATCTGTCTCCCTTCCCACCACCCCAAGTCCTTGGAGAAGTCAGTGAAAGACACGCCGCGTTTAGACTGTCAGAGGCCAATCCCAGACAAAAGTCCCCAAGGTACAAGAACTCAAATAAGGACACTACTGGGGAGATTGAAAAGCAAACATTATTTATCAGATGGTGATAGGAAACATCACGCTTTCTTGAGCCCAATTCCAGAATGGTCAGTGGGAGTTTCTCTCACGTTAACTTCATCGGTCCGCCTACCCCATGGCAGCGCTTCTACTGAAGGGGACAAAGGAGAAATCATAGTCCTCAAGAGGGCTCCAGAGTGCCCTTCTTATCAAGTCCCAGCTGAGGAGACAAAACCAGCAAACAAAGGACTTCCCACCACCAAAACCCGCATTCACCACTCGGGGCCTCCTCTTCCCACATGTAACTCAAGGAGAGCTCCACTCACCCTGCTTAGTCCTCAACAGGGAAACATTGTACTTCTTTATACCCTTTGGGTCCTTCCTAAATACCTTTCCTTCACTTAGCGTAGTGAGCACTTAGTAGAGTCCCCGCGTTCGTATCACTTGCTCTCTCAAGGAAGCTAGAGTGTCCAGGACTAGAAACTGGCATTGAACAGTAATCTACCAGATTAAAAGATAAAGGCATTCCCACTTTAAGTCCATATTGTATGGAAGGAGGGAATGTACCTAACCTGCTTAGAAAACGGCTTTCGGGCTAAACACAACAGGCAAAGGGTTCAGCGGGAACTGGACAGCTGAAGGAACATAGAAGTGACAGTGAATAGGGAAGCAGGGGATCCTGGTGGCAGTAAGGAAGAGTGGTGCCCTTTGACTAAGAGCCCAGATGGGGTAACTAAGAATGACGGAAAGAGTCAGATAGAAGGCCAAATAACTAAATTTTAGTTATGACTTTTGCCAGCAACTCAGCATGTGACTTTGAGCTTATCTAGCCTTCATCTGCAAAATAGGGGAAAGCAGTCTGTTTAACTAGATGCCTCTTATGGTCCTTTGATAATATGGCATCCTTCACAAGTGTGATTGATGGACTATTACAAGATATTCAGGAGGGGGCCAAAGGGGACTTTACCAGAGCAGGAAATGCCTTTCAGCCTCATCTCTAATGAAAGGGTCACATTCACACATACATAAGCAGAGTGGCCGACAATTTCATCATAGCAGCAGAAACACAGAGAAAAATACATACTGGTGAAGCTCAATTCCTGCACTAAGGGAGCAACACGGAGGGGCTCCAAGGTCAGGGGAGAAGGGTCCTTCCATATGACAATAACTTTCACCTTTCTGTCCCTTCCCCAAATCCAGAGCAGCTTGCTTTTTGAAAGAAGCCACTCCCACTTCACTTCCCTAAAACCACCAACTCACCTGTTGCAGAAACAAAAATGCACAGATCCCAAGGGAAATAACCCACTAGCTAGCTAGAAATTAACAGAACCTACCACACCTAAGGTTACTTGGGAGTGGCAGCTGGGACCAAAAGTCCTTATTTCCCTGAACATTAACAATGACTCTGAAAGGTCTTCATTTGGACCTGTCCCAACCACAGTCACTTGGGTTTGCCCTCTTGGTGAAGTGGGAACTCACCTGGACCACTGTTTTATTTCTGGTGCATTTATGATTGTTTCCAAATTTTCATACCAATCTCATTGTGAGTGAGCCAGGAAGTTACCTCCCCAAGTAGGACTCCAAATGACAGGAAAACCTAGGACAACGACGCAAGTGCAGGGTTTCAGCCCTTGCAACAGGACCTGCAAACAGACGCATGCCACTCCCCAGACACCAAGAAGCATCTCCCAGCCATCCATCCACATGGATTCTTACATGGCCTCTCCTAGCAGAGGTAGCTGGGGCAATTGGGGTGCGGAGGACATCGACCTCCTATCAACCTGGGATCCCTGTTTAAAAGATACTAAAAATACATTAGTAAACATCACTGTTTACAGAAATAGAAATCATTTCTGTTTCCAAAGGCCTCTCACCATCCCAGTCCTGGACATTCCCAAGACTGCCACCCCTGACACCCTCTCCAAGGTCCCCCCTGGTGGGTGGGTAAGACACCAGAGTCTTTTGAGACTGAGAGCTCCTCAGGCACCTGAGAATTCCAGTTTCACATCTCTGGTTCCCATGGAAGGGAGAATCTTCAGGACTCTGGAGAGAACGGGGGTTCATCCCTTCTTATCAGTTCCGGGGGGCTGTCTTGAGGCAATCCCCCCCTTTTGGATGATATACGTGTTGTAACAAATCCTGCTATTTTCGGGCCCCCAGTCCCTCCCCAGAGTCCAACATGCCTGCCTGGACCCCCGCACCCCCATCCCCCGGAGCGGAGAAGCCAGTCTGTGCCTTGGTATAATCACTCAGGGAAAGAGGGGTGGGCAGAGAAAAAGCAAGGACAGTGGCCTGGGGGATCGTCCTTGAAGGAACGACTAACAGCAGTGACTGTCAGACAAGCAGGTGGTGAAGCTGGGCACCTGCCCGGGGACGGAGCCGGAGCTGTCCACCAGGTTGGCGGGTTGCGGGTCGACGCGGGGGGTGCGACGGCGCCCCCGGTACTCGATCATGTCAGGATGATAGGATGGGTGGCGGCGGGCGTGCTTGGTCAGGTGGTCGCTCCGAGAGAACTGCTTGGGGCAGAGTGGGCAGGAGAAGCGTTTCTCGCCCGTGTGCGTCCTGTAGTGGCGGGCCAGCTCGTCGGAGCGCGTAAACTTCTTGTCGCAGTCGAGCCAGTCGCAGGAGAACGGGCGCTCACCCGTGTGGGTGCGCTGGTGGGACTTCAGATGTGATGACTTGTAATAGGCTTTGTTGCAGCCCGGGAAGGGGCAGCGATGGCGCTTGGCAGCAGGTGTTACTGGCCTCCGACGGGGGCCTGGACCCGTGGCGGGGGCGGGGCCGGCCCCAGGGGCCACGCCAGACACCGCGCCAGGGTGGGCAGGCGCTCCCGGGACGTCTGGCGCGCCAGGGACCTCGAGCGCGCCGGAGGAGTGCATGGGTTCCGAGACCTCGGCTGCGCTGGAGGCCGGGGCTGGCTGGGAGCCCAGGGTCGGGCCGGAGCACGGGGTCGGGTCGGAGGAGCCGGACGAGGAGCGCAGAACTTCCCCGGAGTACTCTGCGAAGCCCCCACCAGAGCCGCCGCGCAAGTCAGCCAAGACGCTTGCAGCCAGCAGGTGGGGCGCGGCGCCGCCCGCGCCGGGGCTAGGGGCGGGGACCTGGGGGAGCGGGGGGACCGACGCGGGCCCCGGTGGCCCCGGACCCGGCAGAGCGGACTCCGGCGGCGCCGCACCCACCTCCGAGCTGGCCGCTCCGCCCGCGCCCTCGGGGTCCGGCGGGCGGCGGTGAACCACAGCACCCGCGGACATGGACACCAAGCACTCGGCGGCGAAGTAGTCCAGGCACGCCACGGCAGCCGACATGCTGGCAGACTGACGCGCCCCTGACGCACCGGAGCCCGCGGGGGCGGCGGGACCCGCCCCGGCCGGCAGGACACCCCTCGGAACGCGCGGCCCACCGGGGCTAGGTCATTCCTAACAGCCTAAGAAATTATCTTGTCTTCGCATTCTTGCCTCTGCCGGCGAGCCAGGTAATTTTAATAAAGAGAAAACTCCCCGATCGTAACTTCTGGGCAGCCTGCCGGCTTCGCCCCCCCTTCGCCCGCTGGTCCTCCGCCAGCTGGGTGTCCGGCGGAGTCCGCGAAACTTTTTTTTTTAAGGGAAAAAAATGCTTATACCTGACATGTCTTTCGATTCATAATTACGATTGTTAGTAAAACGGGCTGGGATTACGTTTCACTTCTGTTACCGCTCTCCGATCAGATTTAAAATATCCCCGAGTCTTCACCAAAAAAAAGTTTTCTCATCTAACAGTCCTGCTGTCAACCCAGGGTCGGTACCAATTCCCTAAATAGAGCCGCTAGGTAGCCATTAATTAATTTTCGAACCAGAAACATTTTTAACCTTGAAAAAAGCAAAGAATCCTCTCATGGTTGAAATTGAAACTTAAAATCCTTTGAGTAACGATTTAACTATTCAGCCAACGAAAGAAAAATGCATGTTTAAACTGCATTAACCTGTCACAGGCATACAAACAAATTTCCACGCTGAAATATAAATTATAGACTAGCAGCGAGATAAACACATTAAAATGGACTCCCACAATTTTAATAATAGAAAGTCACGTTTCCAATTAGGCAACGTCTTTTATTTTTCTCTTGACAAAAATTAAAAATAAGAAAACGCAGCAAATTATATAGAATTGCTCATATGGTGTTTTGTGATTGTAGAGCCTTTTCTTTTTATATAGTCAGATATATGTGTGTGTATATGTTTACATTTCTTCCCTGCTTTCATTTTTTTCCTCCTTTGACTTAAAAAATTGAAAACACACAGAAAAGCAAACAGGATAATTTCTAAAAATAGTCATAGCGTGGTTTTTGATGTATACAAGCTTTACTTATATATATTTGAATTATGTGCAGTTTATTTGCAGTTCTTTAATACTTTTCTTTTTCTTTTGAAAATTAAAAATGCAGATACCTCAAGAATAACAAACATTAATATATGTACTTCCTGAGGATAATTAAACGTGAAATATTTGTCACATTGGCTTCAGGCTTTTTATTAAAGATTCCAGATAGAGCTGACTGTCACCTTATTTCCCTCCCCAGTTTCATTCACCTTTCTCTCTTCTTACTTGCCTAGGTAATCAGTGTCATAAAGTGTGTATGCTTCCAGTACTGTTACCATTCTTTATTACCTAATTACCTCTATATATTTACATGTAAATATATATGTCTATGCTTATATGTTTTAAGTTTTCTTTATAAATGGTACAGCAAAATGTAGAAATCATTTTGCAACTTACTTTTTGCCCTCAATATGATTTTGAAAACTATCCATGTTGACATTTACAGAATCTACTTTATTCATTTCAGTAGCTTTATGATCCTGTCAGCTTTATTATTTTTATGGAGATTCTATTCTAAAACAGATAATTATTATAAAGCTGCTTGCTTCAACATTTTAGACTATTAACTCTCACTCTACACATATTAAAATTGTATCAGATAGAATTCCTCACTAGCTTTTTTTAAAAAATATTATTATTTAGAAAAAATCTAAAGCTATTTTAAAATGCAGAGAGACTATTACAGGCACCCATGTACCTATCTCATATAACTAGTATATGACAGCATTTCGCCATACCTGCTTCAGGTCTGTTTTTAATTGAGCTGTTCATCATTTCTGATAAAATTGAAGTCCCTTTGTACTCCTCCCCAAAACCATTCTACACCCTTTTCTCCAAGGCAAGTACTACCATGAATTTTGTATGTAACTTTCCTCTAGGTTTATACTTTTACTATATATGAACTCATACAAACACACAGTATTGCTTTGATTTTTAAAATGCACATGTGTGATGTTAGACTGTACATATTCTGTGACTTGTTTTGTTTTCCCTTCGTGGTATGTTTTCATTCTTTCTTACCATGTTGATAAATGTAAATCCTGTTCATTCATTTTAATTGCTATATTACAGATCCATGTATATGAATATGTTGGGTTTATTAATTTCCCTATTAATGAATATTGAAGCTGCTGCAAATATTTTGGTATTAACAATAATGCTCATATGAACATATGTTTTCCTATGTCCCTTGCATACCTGTGAGAATTTCTGTGTCTTCCTAATGGGGAATTGCTAGGTTACACACACATTTTCAGTTTATTAGAGACTGCCAAATATTTTTTCAATTTGCACAACTATTAGCAGTCTATGAGAGTTCCTGTTTCCCTCACATGACCTTCAACACTTTCTAAATTCAGACTTTTCTTATTTCTGACAATTAGATATTTTTATTAAAACTCAGAATCTCATTGTTAATTTAAATTTCCCTCACTGCCAGTGAAGTTGAGTATTTTTTCATACATTTACTGGCTATTAAGGTTTCTGAGTGTGTGGTTTGTTTTTTCACAGTCCTCATCTATTTATCCAATGGGCTGTGAATGTTTTCATCTTTCCCCCTCTTGGTTTGTAGGAGTTCACATATATAACATTATATTGCCCCATTCTGTGACTCTTTTAACTTCTGATAACTTTTGAACTATTGAAAATTTAAAATGTAGTCATATTCCCTGATCTTTAGAGTTTGTGTCATTTGTGTCATGTTAAAGACACCTCTCCACATGTGATCCACAAAGAGACCCTCCTATTTTTTTTTTTTTTATGTTTTAAGTTTTGTCTTCCACACTTGTAAAATGGATCCATCAGGGATTTATTTTTTGAATGGTGTAAAGTAGGAATTTAATTTTATTCTCCCTGTTTCCATATGAAAAACTGTTATCATGACTTGATTTACTAAACAGTCTTTCATTCCTTCCCTTAATGGGTAATGCCACTGTGATTATAAATTAAATTTCTGTATATTCATGGATAGATTTCTACTTTGTCCTTTTCTATTGGCCAAACCAATTCTGAGCCAGTACCACATATTTTTAATTATTATGGTTTTATAATAAATCTTCATTTATAGAAGCGCGTTTACCTATTTGTTCATTAGAAAAAGCTGTAACAGCTATTTTTGGACCTCTGCTTTCCTATACTAACTTTAGTATCAGTTGGTCAACTTCTGTTGACAAACTTTTCTGGTATTTTGGTCAGTTAAACTTGGAGGTTAGATTTTGGGAGATATGACATTTTTATAAAATTGAGTCATCCAGTGTATTAATATTATTCTGATTTCCTCATATCCTTCTGTAAATTTTATACTTTTGAGTTTAAAACTCTTGTACTTGTTAGGTTTATTCCTAGGTATCTTACTGTTTTGTTGCTTTTAGAAGTGGAATCCTTTAAAATTTACTAGGTTAGTGCTGCTACTGGGAATTGTTACTGATTTTAGAATAATCCTCTTTTTTTTTTTTGGCCATGCTGCGTGGCTGGTGGGATCTTAGTTCTCCAACCAGGTATTGAACCCCGGCCCTTAGCAGTGAGAGGGTAGAATCCTAATCTCTGGATTGTTCAGCAAATATGCTTAACTTTCTTATTAAAGTTTATTTGCAAATTCTTTTATTTTTATGTAGATAATATCTCTGAATAATACTCTTAATACTTTCTCCTTTTCTTATCTCATTGAATGGATGGGGGCCTCCAATATAATATCAAATAGTAAGCAGTATTTTCCTATTTCTATTTTCTAGTGTGTCATCATTATTTATTATAGTTGCTATAAGTTTTTGATAGAAACTCTATCAGGTTAGGGAGTCCTTTTCTCTCCCAGTTGAGTTTAAAAAGGAATATTTTTAAACAATGAAATGAATATTGAATGTTATTAAGTGCTTTTTCTAAAACTTTTGAGATGATAATTGTTTTTTTCTGATATATTAAAGTAATGGATAACTTTGGTAGGTTTTTCTACCATGGATTTATCCTTGCGTTCATTGACATAAATCTTGCTTTGCCATGAAGTACTATTATTTTTCACTACACTACTTATGCAATTTGCAAGTGCTTTTTTATTTTAGCATCTATGTTCATAACTGATATTGGTATCGTAACTGATAATTTTCTTTTCCTGTGCTACCTTTGTCCATGTTTATACTACTCTCATAAAATGCATTTAGATGTTTTTCTTTTTCTGTTATCTGTAATAATTTATATATAATAGGTTCTATTTGTTCCCTGAATGTTTGGTAAATCTCATCTGTGAAACCATCATATTTTGAAAATTCAGTTCAATTTCTCTCATGATTATTAGTTTATTTGGATTTTCTGTACCTTCTTGAGTCAATTTTGATAATTCACATTTTTTCTTTAGAAATTAGATATTACAATCAAGCCTCTAAAATTTTGGTGTGTGATTCATAACATTCCCTCATTATTTAAAAATTCTCTATGGTATCAGTAGTTATATCCTCCTTTTCATTCCTTATATATATTTGTGAATTCTCTGTTCTTTTTTGCCTCAGCAGAGGGTTTGTCTACACTTTAAGACAAACCTGTACAAGTTTGTCTGTAGTCTTTTAAAAAAGAGCCAGCTTTTGCTGATCATATCTGTCTCTTTAAAAATATATATTTGTTCAATTGCTGTATTTATTTTTATTAATCTCATGCTTTTTGTCTAGTTTAGCATATTACATCTTTAAAAAAAAAGTGTTTCAACTGAAATACCTAACACATTAATTTTCAATCTTTCTTATTTTCTAAAATATAACTTAGGGCTATAAATTCCCTTTGAAGAGAAGTTTCCTATGTCTTGTCTTTACTCCACAGGTTTCAAAATAGTGCTTTCATTGTCATTCAATTCTACATCATAATTCTGTTGTGATTTCTTAGCTGTTGAATTTTCAGAAGGGTGCTTTCTGTAGATGACAGCATCCTTCCTACCAACAGTGCAGAAAAAGTAACATTTACTTTTGTG